AATGAATGACTTCATCTTGACCAATTGGGATTTTCTGTAGAATTTGACATTGAACGCACATTTGGTGAGGAGGCTTCTTGAAAAGATTCTTGAAAGATAGCGCTTTCAGCTTGAGAATATTCAGAAAGAATATCAGAGAGAACAAATCTTTTGAATCACTTCAACAGGTTCATAGATAGTAGCAAATTGATTGAGGAGGCTTCAATGCAATCTGTCACATAATCTTTAAGTCAGCTTCACCTTGCTTCTGGTGTTGAAAGATTGAATGTTGAAAGAATAATCTTCATTTCTTACTCCTTTGAATGAGAATTCTTCGATGATCACGGATGAAGCTTTGGCTCAGAAAGTCTCATCTATATCTGAATTCACTTTTCAAGACAAAACAAAAACTAAAAGAAAACCTAGCACACAATATTTTTTGGATTTTTTAATATTTTCTGGAAAAAAAAAACAGAAATAACACTATTTTTGAATTTTTTAATTTTCTAGTTTTTGTTTGATTTTTGAATTTTTTTTAATTCTCCCCCTAAATTTGTGCATAGAGGAATACTATGAACAAATTTAACAAAAACAAAAAAAATGGGATCAAATTTGTCAGGCAATCCAATATCGTTTATCAGTACACACCTTCATGTCTAGATCTGGTCAATCACCAGTATTATGGTCCACTTAAATACAAAGGATGTTAATAATTTGGACAAATTATAAGTGACAAGTCATTGTGATATATATTCCTAAATGGACATTTAGCTGATGACGACCAAGGATATTGTTGTCTACTTAAATTAAGCAGCAAGATCTACAGACAACCTATTAAATGGTTCAATTTTAGATGTACTAGAACGTGTTTCCCACTTCCCGATATACCCCGGTAATCAAGAACTTCCAAAGAACTCCTTACTTTAGGTGAGTATTCAATCATTAAGAAATAATTCAGATATAGAAGTGCATATGTTGTATCCCAGGTCGGATGTCTTCTAATCACATAGAGGGAACAACATATGACTAGCATAGATAGGGGTTGAGAGGTCGAATGTTGCATATGTTGTGTCCTAGGTCGAATCTTCCGATCACGCAGAGGGGACAACATATGGCTAACAGATAGAAAGAATTTCATAGATAAGGAGGTGCGTAGAAATAGAGTTGCATATGTTGTATTCCAGGTCGGATATGTTCCAATCACGAAAAGGAAGCAACATATGACTGACAGATAGAAAGCAAGAAAATAATTTCCTACAGACCTATTTATCAGAACTCCCCAGTCGTCCTATCAATACCGAAATTAAGGACATGAGTCCATACATGAAGGAAATGTTGAGCCACAGTTCTAGATAATTAACTTTTAGTGTATCTTGCAGGCTCCCATGTTTATCTCACTGCTCAATTTACCCGAGCGTCGTATTGTCAGTCCAAATGAAACTATCTAAGTCTATATTGTCTAGTGCTTTCATGGTCAATCAATGTCTAGTCCTTTTGAATCCTTTGTGCCTACCAGCATATCGAACTCAGAGCTTAGACAATTCGACTTTAGTACATTACACGCATCATAAATTTCCCTTTAGCACTATACTTCATATCACTTCCCAAACAATACCTACTGACGAAAAACTATAATAAAATTAAAGAAAATTATCTTTGAAATGAATCAATGTAAGATAAACTCAGGAGTATCGAGAAGAAAAATCAAACCGTAAGTCACCGATTGAATTTGCATCCAGAAGGTCTGAGAACAACACGCATAATCTCATAACAAATCCGAAAATTCTTCACATCGTTAAGCACAAACCCCATGAGTGATCCCTTCCTTTCTTTCTTTCCCGCAAAGGACACATACTCTCAAATAAAGTTCTGAGTGTTATACAATTGAGAAATGTATCCTATCATGTGCTTTGAATAACCACTACCAACAAACCGAAGTCTGATGATATGCATCCATAGCTGCTCCAACACAGGGTGGGATCAGTTGGTCTTTGGAACCCAGTCCATTTTGAAACTGGTTTGAACTTTGTCATCTTTGCAAGGAACATTCTCCCACGACATGTCCTGTTTATCACAAACAAAAGATGTAGAAATATTACAATTATTAGGTGATTTGGGAGATTGAACCTTTGGAACCCATTTGTAGTTGGGTTTGACCCATTTCTTTTTCGATCCGATGGGTGCCTCGGCACTTGATTTTGAACTCGAAGTCGGCTTCCGAGATGATTTTGACCTAACCGGTCTTGGCTTCACATGAGCATCTCTTGGATTGGACTTCTTGGGTGACATTCCCTTCTTGCCTTTGGGATTTGGATTCTTGACCTTGGGAGTTTGATTCTTGGCCTTCTGTACGTTCCAGTCACCATTGCGCGGTTGTGACCTGGAAGGGTTTCTTTTGAAGTATCTCCCACTTGGCGCGTTCTGCCTGCCTTGTGCATAGTAGGGAACGTATGCGCGATTAGGACAATTTTTGGAAATGTGTCTAGGTGTTCCATAGTGAAAACATGTATTTTTATTCACTGTGAAGTTGTTTCTTCTTGCCCCTGGTGGTGTATCCTTGCCTTGTCTCTTATTGTTCCCACAAGCACAATTATAATAGGCACTCTGTTTCACTGGAATTGGTGGCTTGTATTTCTCAACAGCAGGTTGATCATAAGCAATTGAGTTCAAAGCAACAGATTCATCATTCAAGGGGATGGTTGTTTGTTCAATGGTGTTCTCCTTGTTCTCAACCTCTGCTACTTTACCTTCTAACACAAATCCAGCTGGTTTGCCATATTGAAGACGTGCCTCCCTGTCAATTTTTTCCTGTGTCATAGGGATGGATGCATAGTTATGATTGAAAGGTGGAGGAACACTATCATACCCTAGACCTTTTTGTTGGTTATTTTTAAATTGCAAACAATGGTCTATCATGTTCGCAACTACTTCGCTTGAAACATCAAATTTTCTAAAATCAAAATCTGCAGTTTCAAATTTTCTTTTTAATGTGTCAAGCTCAACAGTTAATCCAGCAAGTTGTTTCTTAACATAGTCATAATTTTCACATTTATTACTATAGTCTTCATGAAGCCTCCTAAAGTCTTTTATTTTTGCTTCTAATTTAGCCTTTAGGGGTTTCTGTCCTTTCCTGAGTTGATATCCTTCGTATTTTAGGTCCTCAACTTCCCTTTTTAGCAAATCATTATGTTCACGGAGAATTTTAATCGTATCTTCACAAGATGGAGTACATGAAACTTCATTGACCGGGATGTTTGCGGAACTCGTTGTTTTTCCACACTTCAAAGCATCAAGTTCTTCAGTTACAGTAGCAAGACTAAGACGATTGAGATCTTTTGTCTTCTTTATGACAACCACGTTCATATCCCACGATTTCAGAAGTGAATTCAACAGCTTTTTGTTTATCTCATATTTAGTTAAGAAGATCCCAGTTATATTCATCTCAGTAGTAAGTGTAGTAATTCGCTGCAACTGAGCTTCTAGGGTTTCTCCAGGGATATAATTGAACATGTTGAACTTTTGTCTTAACATATCCTGACGACTCTCTTTCATGTCTTCAATTTCCTCGTACACCTCAAAAACCATTAAAAGCACAACTAGAAGCCAAAATCAAACTTAAAAGTCAAACTTAAAATGTCAAACCGAAAATCTAAATTTGAAAATCAAAGTTTAAAGTCAAAGGTCAAATTTTAAAAGTCAAAGTCAAAATTTTAAGTAAAAAGTCAAAATTAAAAGTCAAAAATTAAAAACTACAAATTTTTGGGTTGAAAATGGAATTTAAAAATAAAAGAAATTTGAATTTTGGGCTAAAAGTGTCAAATTTTCGAAAATGAAGAAGTGCAGATACGTTATTTGAATTAAGAAGCGAAGGGATTTATCATCTAGCAAACTAGATGAGTTGGTTAAGGCGTGTGTCTGATAAATCAAGGGACCCAGGTTCGATCCCCGACACCCTCAATTCATTTCCCTTTTTAAGATGCACACGAGTAAGCCACTGATGTTGCAGAGCTGAGCCTAACCCACCAAGCCGTCTTCCCTAGTCGCACACTTTGAGCTGCACACTTTCCGAATCGCATCCGCGACCGTAAACTTCGGCCACAAATTCATAGGTCGTAAACTCCGGCCGCAAACTCACCGGTTGTAAACCCTTCAAAGGCCGTAAACACTACTTCAGATCGCGAGAAAAACGATGTTTTTCACCATTTTTGCTCTAAAACGCGATCCGTAACTCGTTTTCATGAAAAACACAAAGAACAACCCCCCCACCCCCACCCCCACCCCCCTAATTTTCAGAGATCTATCAAAAAACGCAAAAATCCTTCAAAAATAAGATCAAATAAGCTCCATATCTGACAAAATTGACTGATACAATCCAAGCTCTGATACCACTTGTAAGTCCCTGATTTGCTTGTGTATCAATCAGATCCGATTGATGGTGTGGAATCCCAATCAAACGGATGATGTCAGATCAAATAGACAAGAAGGAGAAGAAGAATATGATGAATCTTGTATGATATGATTAGAATTAAGATCCAGATACAAGATTCACACACACTAAAGCTCCTTTCTTCTCTCTAACTTTCTCTCTCTAGAACACCTTAGAATACACACACTTAAGCTCCTTGTTCATTACACTCATATGCACTCCTCACCCTATATATATATATATATATATATATATATATATATATATATATATATATATATGAGACATAGGGCGTGAACAGTTTTATAGCCGTAAACTTGTTCACGATCGTAAACACAGTCGTAAACTCATAAAACATTACAGAAAAATACAATTGCTTAGAAAGGCAAAGTATAAACCATAATTTTGACCCAACACTATCCCTGACTACTTTTACGGGATATGGGAATGTCAAACGGTGGAATTTTCTCTCTCCACTTATCATAGACGTATAAAAAGGGTTTTTGACGGTTGCTTTTCCCTCACGCTCACAAAATCTCTCAAAGCAAAACCCTTTTCTATCTCTGCTTACTGTTAATCTTCTCCAACTGCAACAATGGCAGGTTCGTCTGAAACAACATCATTTGCTGACCAATCAACCTCTGTGGTCATGCTGAATGTGAAACCTAGTCAAAATTTGATCCTCGATCTCACTGCCTCATGCTACAATGAATCATTACGGTCGATAATTGAGTGCTTGCATTTCTCGCCACTGGATCAAGCCTTGACCATGGTAGAATCCATTTCTCTCATCCATCTTTCAAAGGCGTTCTCCACTCTATCTTATGTTCTTGCTGATGATGTGATTAATTTTGAGATTGACTCTAAAAAATCCTCCATTAATAAGGCTCGATTCTGCAGAATGCTAGGGTTTGGTACGTCTGAGGGCCCGGTTGATCCTGCTTTGATTTCTTCGTTTGGTCTCATTCACATGTTTTACCAAATGGGCTATAACAATGATATTTTTTTTTCTTATACAAGTTCAAGAATTCCAACCTTCCTCCTGTGTGGAATGGTTTTTTCACCTTGTTGTTCAAGAGCTTCTTTGAACGTGGTGTCGGCTCCGACAACACAAGTATGCTCTTTACTACCATCATTTACGGTTTGTATCATGACATCAACTTGGATTACAGTTTTATTCTCTGGGCACAACTTATTTAAAGCACATCTTCTACCACTCATATTACTGAAATTTCCTATGCTCGGTTTTGGTCCATTATCATCAAAAGAGCCATGGTTCACTTTGACGTTTCTTTTGTTGGTGATGTTGTTGTTGATGCGATTTCGATCCTACATATTTCAACATTTATGTTGTCCGCTACAACTAAGTTCAATTTCATTGGAACAATTCCAGAGGTCATGCTTGCAAAGGTGCCTCAGGATAATGCTATAGTCAATACCTATCGGAAGTTGCCTTCATCGGGTCCTCGTCCAATGATTGATGAAATGCGAACGACAATTGACGAGGCTGACAAAGCAAAAAGGGGAGCAAAGAGAAAGGGAAAAGTTGTTCCTTCTGAAGCCATCAAGACTCCAAAAACGAAAGTCAAAAAGGCTACGAGAAAACCGAGATCTCCATCTCCAGTACAGGAGGATTCAGAGTCAAGGATGCAAACTGATTTGCGAGAGGGTAAACATGTTCGGAATGAGGTTGAAGACACACCTATGACCTTGTAACCTCAACTTTCCACTCCCATTCCAAAGGTATCTACTCCACCCACTACTCCTATTCCATTTTCTAATTCTTTTCAGATGCATACCCCACCTCCATCTCCGAACACCACTTCATCTCCAATCACTAATTTTGTCCAAATAACCATTGCACCATTACCAAAGATATATGTGGGTGTTTCTTAACCGCATATTTTTTTTCCGTTCTCCACTCCATTATATTTCGATTCTACAGCTACAACCACTACCTTTCTCAGTACTCTAATGTCTATTGTCAACGTATCTGATATGGGGACATATGATTTTAGTGTTATTGTCGGTCCAAGAACTTCAATAGCTTCTCCTCTACGCGAAGATGATCCTGATATCATGTATGGGGATGATCAGGAAATATACATGATCTCGTTCTTAGTCCCTTCACAGTCCATCAAGCAAATGATGATGACGAAGCCCCAATTACAAAAGGGCGGTTTAAAGAGCTTAACAATAAGTTAGATAAATTTTTGGAGTCTACTAAATCTACATCCAATTACGAATACATGCTCAAGTCTCATCAAGCCATAGTCAAGACTCTGACGAAGGAGAATGCCAAAGTGCTTGCTGCATCCACAAAGGCGGTTGAAGCTTCTGAGAAGATTGTTCAAGAAACGACCAAGAAAGTCGAAAAACTACATGCTAAAGTTACCCAGTTTATGGAGCATTTCTGAAGTTCTTCTGTAAGAATACCGAAGTGGCAAACAAAGTCATTACGAGTCTCTGAACCACTCTTTAGACAGAAAAAGCAGCTATTTCCATGATTCATTCCGACATCAAGGTTGATAAAGCTGAGATGAATGCTTCCATCGTGTCCAAGATTGAGCAGCTTCAGAAAGATCTTGTTGCTGAAAAAGCAATCATGGACAAACTGGCTCAGAAAACTAAAAAAAGCCAAGGTTTTATCTGTCAATTTGAATTACACAACCACGCGTCTAGATCACTTAGAGTCTGAGAAGACAGTATACCAAAGTTGTATTTTAGATATATATTTGTACCTGCAAAGGCTTATTGAAACTCGTGACTCAATGCTTACGATTTCTGTCCAAAAACACCTCTCTCAGAAACTCAAGCTTGTCTTCGCACTGCTAAATCAGCTAGAGGGTGTTTTGGGAAGCGACGCTATTCCGAAACAAGGGGGATATAATGCAGAGAAACAAGAAACCCACAAAGAAGAACCCTAACATCTAGGATACGCATACATCTTATACATATTCTTAAGAGTGACTAATCCTTCCTCACATTGGCCTTCTATAATCTGCACTCACTCATGTAACTTCCACCAACCCTACAATCACTCATGCATGCTATTCATATATAACACTAGATTCCATAGAAAATCGAATAATTGACTCTACCCTAATCCCACAACCAAACAAGGAAAAGGAAATAAGGTTAAATCAAACATTCTCAGCATATAAAATCTTAGTTATGTACAACCATGGTGCATACACTAAGCAACTACAACAATGATGCCGATTCCATCTAGCATACAACAAAATCTCCTAGGCTATCAGTCATGATAATTCAGGCAATTCTATCATCCAATTCCTGAAGATCCCTAGCCTACAACTAGCATGAAATTATATCATAATCATCACAAGCAAATAACAGTGTGGGTATCTTGGGGAATACTTTCTTCCTCCGGCTAATCGTAGACATCTCATCCTTCATTGTGTATTTTTGGAAATAATTTGAAAACTTTTGCAGATCCTTAGTTTGAGTCTGGATTCTCACAAATGTTCATCCAATTCTCTCAAACTATGGCTCTGATACAAACTTGTAACATCCCAAGAATCAAGGCCAATTTTTCATTTTTGAAACCATTCCAAAATCCATAAGTTTTACAAAACAAGTTTCCAAAAGTCACAATCATGAATCAGAGTATCCCAAAATCATAAAACACATAAAATCCAAGATGATATGCACGATCAATCCTTCACCTTACCCCTATCCTCTGAATTACCTAAAACCATAAAATCAGACTGTAAGACAAAACTTAATGAGTTCCCCCAAAATACAACCGCACTAACATATAATAGTGTTAGATTATTTAATGTGTTGTGTCAAATTGTTATGTAAGTAATTAGTCATATGTTAACAGATTGGGCTTGTCCATCCGTGTTTATGGTTTGCTAGGGTTATACTATTTAATGTGCATGCATGTATCGTTTTAGGGTTAACGATTGTATTTTCCCTACCTAGATTTTACAGAAAACTTCACGTTGAACTCTTCTAAAGCTATTAAATATAATCATTCAACACTATTTGATCTTCATTGTTTTCTGCTATTGATTCACATCTTTTATAGAATCTATCAATCTACATTATTATTGTTTCAACAAATAGCATGCATATTAGATCCACAACCATTAGGTTGGATTACCCCTGAGCCGACAACACGGGTCTGAATTCCCACCTGGCCTACAACTCATGTGTGTATTGCTCTGGAGCCCAAATCATAAGTCTAGCTTACCTTTCCGGCCCTCAACTTATGTATGGCTTGCTCCCGAGCCCACAACATAAGTCTGGCTTGCCTTTCTGGTCCTCAGCTTATATATGGCTTGCTCTCAGGTTAACTGGCTTCCGCACAGAGCATTATTGCCTCAACACAACCGCACTATGTCGACATATGCAACAAATAAACATATAAACAACGACAAATAATCATGCAGATCTAACAGATCACTACAACATAGCAACATCCTATATACCAGGAGACATAACCTAGAGGGTCGGTATTGGTGCCTTCGACCCACAAGTAATGTGAGGAAATCTCGCCTCAAAAACTGAAAGATAGCTGAGCAAATCACTACTCCAAATATTGAATCCATCGGTCACATATAAAATAATCAGGGACCCAATCTCAAACTACTAATCAAATTACCTAAAATGGCCTAAAGTCAAACTTGGTCAAAGTCAATAGTCAAAAGTCAAAATCTAAACCAAGTTGAGTACGCCCTGCGTACTCTATCCCTATGCATGGCGTAGAGAGTTCCTTTGAGACTATGAGACTCCCATTCAGTATGTGCTACGTACTCCTAAGGTACGCCCAAAGTACTTACATCCATATTTCCCTCTTTATTAAGCACTTATTCCTTTAAGATCTTAGGTCCAAAACTCAAATCTAATCCCAAATATCATCCTAAATCATAAAGTTTCCAACTTTATGACTTTACATGGCTAGAAGGTGCCCAAAACCAAAACCCTAACTTATTACTCAACTCCAAGCTTCATTTCTCTTCCATGAGTGAAAGAAAATGATCAAGATCACATTTTTATGACTCCATGCACCTCAAAACGTCTGAAAAAATTACTCATAAGGTCTGGAGTAGCTCATACACAACTAGACCAAGATTATGGGACCAAAATGCACGAAAATATTAAAACTTACAAGATCTAATAAAGTATTCATCAAGCTCAGAACTTTATACCTTCTGGTGGTTGCTAAGGAGATGTAAGGTCCAAATCCACAAGGCTTGAAACTTCTCAAGTGCTTTCCAAGAGATTCCTTCCTTAAAAAATGAGCACAAAACACTTAAAAGGCTCAAAACTTCACAAATGGATATTAGGGTTTGTAAGGGTTCGTTTTGGAGGATGGAGGCTGGAGGTGGGAGAGTTATGGGAGTTAAAGTTGTTTTAATAAGGCTCAAACCCTCAATATTATGGTTTGCTCATCAGCCGAGTACGTCCTGTATACTCCTTGTGTATGCCCTGCATACACAAAGGCCTCCACATCACCTTTTAATGACCTACGTCCAACGTACGACCCAAGTACACCCAAAGTAGATACCATTTTTGCAACAAATTTACATTTTGAGTCAATAAAGGAAATTGTCTGAAATTGGTTGGGTGTTACAAAATAAAAATACTCACATCGGTGCTCTTTTAATTCACTTTAAAAAATACCAACTAAACACCATATTTCAACTCTTATGTGGACCATTTAATATAAAAATCATTAAAAGTTTAAAACATGTAAAGTAATTAAATATTGTTAAATGCGGGACATTATTTCTTTGCAAGGTTTGCAAATATAACAATAAGTAATTTGGCGTAGCATTAAATATGATATGATACAACTGACATTGCAATATAAGTTTAGAGCCGTCGTGAGTGAATGGTCTAATTGATTAACTTTTGAAATAGTTATATTGTAATAACAAAGAAAAATTAGAAATTAAAAGTTGAATTTATAATTTATTAAACTTTCCAAAACAAAAATTAACATATTATATATTATAATAAAAATAAATATATTAAGACACTGTAGTAAAAAAAATATAATTACAATTATTATTTATTGTAAGTGGTTATTTCTTTTATTTAAGCTTGTGCATGTACGAAAACCTTTTCTTGTCAAAAGGTTATAGAGATTCACATGCTCTAAGTTCTTTTTGGAAAATTGATCACATGTCTTAGTTCTTTTGGATAAATTGTCCACATGTTTAAGGTTACCAACACTCATTTAGTAAGGAGATCCATGACTCCATGTGATTCCCCAGATATTATATACATACCAACGCAACAAATCCATCTTAATAAATAAATAGAAAATGTTCTTTTTTTTATTAACTTGGCTACATGGTATTTTTAAATAAATGTTTTTTTTATTTGTTATTTTCTCATTTTTTTTATCTTTTTTTAATTAACACATTATATTTAAACCTCAATTAATAATTATTTTAA